AAAAAAAAAAAAAAAAAAAAAAAACGTTTTCTTTTATGTCTATCTCTCTCCACTCTCATGTTTCTTGTAGTCTCTACTCTATCGCTCACAGGTAAAATCAGATTTCGTATTTTCAATCTTAGGGCTTCTCTCGTCATTCAACAACCTCTCAATTCTCTCCGGCAAATCCTTGTTCACCAAAAAATTCCGATGGCCCCCGTCGATCGATCAGGAAATCGGCTCCGATTAGTTCTTCTTTGTCGAGTTCCTCTTTGCCGCCATCCATGAAATCTCGTCGGGTCCATTCTCTGTCGGGTGCAGAAAATCACCGCCCGTCGCTTGCTCCTATCGCCGGCCAGGACGTCTCGTCATTTGAAGTCGCCGCTGGTCCACAGTCTATCTTTACTGTTTGCCGCAGAGACTCGCCGCCGACCGCTACCTCGTTAAAATTTCTCGGCGTCCTACCTCCCGGAGAACATACGGTTCTCTGTTGTTACTGTCCTCTCGCCGGAAATTCGCTCGCCATTCACAGGAAGAAGCCGGTTCTCTTCTTCGACAGCCGCAGAGAAACACCGTCTTGCAGATCGCAACACCTGTTCCCTACCTTCCAGTTTTTGCTCGCGGCAGACAGCATTCGGATAGCGGCCCGCCGGCCCCAAACGGTCGTCTCGCCAACATACTTCACTGTCCGTCTCCGTCAAAGACCATGCTGTCGTCGGGCCCATTTCAGTTATCGACCGCCCACGATTACCGATCGTTCATATTTTAGTGCCGTCGTCCCAAATTAACTTGGACTCGACATCGTCACTGAGGTACTACTATTTCGATCTTCTGATGGTGTTAATGTTCTGCGAGATTTTTTTGGCAGTTGTTTTATCAGTGTGAAAGCATCTTCTGCTTGGATCACATGGTCGTGGGTTTTCTTTAGTACATATGGAACTTGGGAAAAAGTGCATTTCAAGTCCATAAACTACCATGCACTGAAAGGACCTTAAATACTAGACTTCTGGTTAAAAAATTGCCAAGTTTTTTTTGTTGAAAGAATGGGAGGCCCTGTTCGTTGAAGTCATGTTCAGAAGGTGGAGAGCAAGGGCAAGAGTTCAAAATATATTTGAATACGATCATTCTTTCCCTTCGTTACGTTGATATTGGATATTCTCAATTTCTCATCAAATGGTCTTGATATTGAAGTTAATACATGATTGAGACCTCGAATTTAGGAATTTAGGGGGAGCTGAGATTGAGTGTTCGTGTTGTGCAAGAATTGAGGGGGAGCCGAAGCCGAGCTTGGGTTTTACCACTCTCGTATCCGGTGTCTAAAGTCCTTGCTTTCTGACCAAAAAGGGGGAGATGGAGAACGCGCTTGTAGTGTCGTCGAGTCTTCGACTTTATCACTATTTGCATTTCTCTTCCTTATCTCTTTTATGTATATTTTTCAGTGTGTTATTTAGGGAAGTGTTTAATGCTTAGTTAAATATTTTTTTTTTGTTCAGAAAAGCAAAAAAAAAATAGGGAGATTGTTAATTCATATTTATTATTCTATTATTATTTTTTTCTTTTCTGTTTTTATTTATTTTATTAGGTGTATATTATATTTTTGGGAGTATATTATTGTTTCCTTATCTTTATCTTATTAGGAGTCCTGAAAAGAAAAAAGATTGGAGAGAAGATTTGGTGGTGATCTGTCTGTGAAGAAAAAAAAAGGGAGCCTGGGACGTGAAGAAAAAGTGGGCAGCAATTATATCCTTCTTCTTGGTGCATTAAGGCTTTTGACAGAATTATTTTTGTTCTTGGCAAGCAATTTGGTTTTGGAGAGCAGCAGCCGTTGGCAAGGGAGAACATAGAAGCAACATAATTTTTCATGTTTCTTGGAAGCTTATTATAGCGCGGGATAATTCGGCTTTGTTATTTTGATCTTTTTATTTGACATGATTTATTTGATGATATTGATGTGATATAGTTTCATATAATTGTCGAACTCGCGTTTCGTGTTTTTCGTAGTTCACTAGGTGTTTTTGGATTGGATGAAAAACATTGTATTTGATTTGTTCTAGTGAATTTTTGGCATGTTGCCTTAGTCTACAAGTGATTTTACTTGTAGGCTAAATTTTTGAATCGTTCCTGTTATTTATTTCCGCTGCGTATTTTAATTTTCGATTTTTCACGTGAAAATCTGGAATATTCAGTACCTAAAATTCTAACATGGTGTTTCACGAGAGGAGCAAGCATATCGATACGAAGTACCATTTTATTTGATATTGTATCGCCAAGAAAGAAGTGAAGCTGGAGTACGTGAAGTCGAAAGACCATGTTGCGGATATCTTCACGAAGCCGTTGACGCTCGATGTGTTCAAGAACTTACGATTTCCTCTTGGAGTGATGAATTTAGTTTAAGACGGGATGTTGAATTATTAAACTAAATTAATATTTGAGAGTTTATCCATGTATCTAGGTGGTTCTAGGAATTTACATAATTCATGAATGTAAGTTATAAGATACATGAAGGTAAAATGTAGGTGAAATGCATCATAGTAATTATGGGAGTTTGAAAAGGTATTCTTATACCTATGAATATCTATGTGAGTCATTTGCAAGTTGTAAGAGTGAAAAAGCCAAGAAGAAGAAGAAGAAGAAGAATATAAAAAAAGTTTTTTTTTTTTTCTCCTCTTCTATTTTCTAACAACCCTCAGATCCCCCTCGTCTACCATCATCTTCCCGTTTTCCGACCCGGCTACAATGGCCTCTGCACACATCCGCCCGCTTTTGGTGGCAAAGTATATCCCCTCGCTGGAGCACTTGGTGACGTACCCGGCGGCGTCCCCAACGAGGGCCACCCTATCGAGGACCCGTCTGGGTCGAGGGTGCTCCGGGATGGGGTGGGCCTCGACTCGGATGATTCGGTCGCCGTCGATCTTGTCCCGAGTGTGGAGCCAAGTCGCGACCTGGAGTTTTTTTATGTCGCCCTTGTGGATGACGGTGCCGGTGCTGACGGTCATGTGGTCGCACTTGGGGAAGACCCAACCGTAGATATCCGATGAGACGTCGTCGCCGACGTACATCTCGGCGAGGTCCTCATAGTACTTCATCTTCTCGTCGGGGATGCGGATCCGCTCCTGGAAGGCGATGGCGTATCTAACTATATTGTTCTTGTTTCAAGATTTTTTGTGATGAATCTCTTCCATTTTTTTGGAGTGTTTCCCGCTTGTTGCTATCCCCAAATTATTACCTAGATAAAATTCTTAAATTTTTTAATTTATTCCATTTATTTTCAGCCATTAGATTTTGTTTTAATTTATGTTTAATCAATGACTGAAATTTAACTTTAGGGGCTGCTGTTAGTAAGTCACAACAGCCCCCCCTTACCCCGGATGCAGACACTAAGCTCTTTGATCTCCTCGTTCACGTTGGATCCCGGCTGTTCGTGCGCGGCCTCGGTGCTCTCGGCAATGGCCCTCGTTGAATGCTCGCCTCGGTTCGTGGTTTTCTCCTCGGCATGGCGCGCAGTCTTGGTTGTTCACTAAGATGTGGTGCGGATTAGGCATGGTGCTTGAAGAAACGCTGGACAAAAGGATGAAGCAAGAGGCTTCTGCTGCATCTCCGGTGGCTTTTGGCCGTCCTCGGGTGCTATTCGACGCGAATAGAGGCTCCTCGGTACGGCTCTCGCAGTGGGGTTCGACATCGGTTGCTCACGGGACGTTGGGAAGGAGGAGGATGTGAGGGTAGGATTGATGAAAGAGGATGAGATTTTGCCTTAGGAAAATTTTGCTCTGATTGTTTTCATAAGAAGAGAAAAAAATTGATAAAAGTGCGAAGTACTGAAGAGAGGAATAAATGTGAGGATTTCTTGAAATAAAGCTTGGCTTTAGAGTGAAGGAGGAGGGGGCGGTTTTTCATTGATGCATAATGCATTGACCGAAAATTAGTGCTGATTTGGTTACAAAATTAGCTAATTGATAGGATTTAAAAAATACCATAGTTGGCACAAAAACATGAATTTTGGATCAACACTTGGAGACATTTTTCTAGGCAAGGGGCGGCTATTTTGAAAGGGTGGCTATTTTGAAGGCTTTTAGGACCGAAAATTTGACCATGCAAAGCCCAAAAGCTGGGCTTGAGAAGGCCGAATAATAACTTGGTTATATTTGGTAAGCTATTTTATACTTTATCATTTTTTGAGCTTATAACTTATATTTTTTGACTTATAGCTGAAAAACTAAATTATAAGATAGAAGTGTTTGGTAAAATTTGCGAAGAAGCCAGCTAAATAAAAATTTGAACGACTTATTTGAAAAGCTACCCAAAGAAGCAAATAAGCTCGAGCTTTTTAAAAAAATTTGTCCTACCAAATGAGACTTATTTGAATACATGGAGCTTATAAGCTAACTAAATAAGCTATAAGCTAATTTATTTGTCTACCAAACATAGCCTTGGACTACTTGGAAAAACGCCTATAAGAAGATCACAAATGGGGGCGAGCATGGTGCGTTTCGGTCAAAAACCCCACCGCACCAAAAAAAAACCGAAAACCGAATTTTTAAATTTTTTTCACCGAACCGCACCGCTATAGAAGGAAAAACCGAACTGCACCGAACCGAAATTTTCGGTTCGGTGTGGTTCGGTTTTTCGGTTAACTGAAATTTAAAAAAATAACCACCAATTAATGTTATATAAGTAAAATATAAAAAAAATTAAGGTGATATTTTATTAAAAAAATAAAAAAAGTGACATTTTATTACATTCGGTGCGGTTCGGTTAAAACCGCATCCTTTGGACAGAAAACCGAACCGCACCGAAGTACTTGCGGTTTTTCAAAACCCAAACCGCATCGATAACCGAACTTACCAAAAACTGCACCAAACCACACAAAATAGCTCGGTTCGGTGCGGTTTTGCGGTTTCGGCTTGGTTTTGCTCACCCTTGATCACAAACACGTCTACACTTGAGTGCGGACTTGACAGAATTTTGCTTAACAAAGAAAAATAGAGAAATTTTAATAATTTAAGTAGATGGGGATATGTAAAAAAAATAAAAATCAATTAGCTTATGGAATTAAAAAAGATGAGCACATATCTTTTTTTTTTCGAAACGGCCAAATTTATTACTCATAAAAAGTTCAAAGGGTACAAACGGGATCCAAGGGATTACAATCCTAAGAGGATCAGAGGAAAGCTCGTAGCTTCCTAGAGAAATACAGAAAAAGGAAAAAATCAGGCAAAAGTAACAGCCGCAAGAAGAGGCGGATGTCTGTTACTCGCGAAACAATAGACACCAATAGAAACTAAGAAAACAAACGAAAATACAAGAAACAATAGCCACTGCAAATGCCTAGCTATGCAAATTAGGAAATCAAAGAGAAGAAAATTCTGCCCATTCTTTAACTGCATTTCTAACAATGATTATCTCTGGAGTCTATAGCTGTTGAAAAACCCATAAATTCCTCGTCTTCCATAGTTGCCATAGTATGTAGCTGGAAAGTTGCAGTCTGTCCTCAAAAGATTTATCAGCTTTTATGGAGCAAAGATCTGTCCACCAATGTGTGAAGCTGCCCTTGAAACTAGCTGGCCCATCCCACTGAACAGGAGCTAATCTCCACACTCTTTCTGCTCTTGGGCAAGTGAAGAGGACATGTTCTGTTGTTTCAGGCTCTTGGCCGCAGAGCATGCACATAGTATCAATATTGAGTCCTCTCTTCTGCAAGTTAACAGCCACATGAAAGATACCACTATAACATCTCCACATGAAGTGCTTTACCTTGCCCTTTATTTTAAGTTTCCAGCTTTTGTTTCTCATTCTTCTTATGGTTGCAAAATTTGAGCTGCCTTCTGGAATGTCTAGTTGCAAAAGTTTGCTAGATATCAAGTGAGCATATGTAGAAGCCACTGTGAAGGTCTGTTTTGGATTGAGTGTCCATGTGGCTTTATCTTGGAGGTGTCTACTCATTGTTTTGATGTGGAGAATTGCTTGACATTCTGAATGAGGAAGGCATTTTGCTAGTAGATCCTCCCTCCAAGACACACCATCACTAGCTATAAGATCAGACACCCATGTTAAAGTTGGAGCATTATGCAGCTTTGTTAGCAGTTTCTGATTAGGGAGATTAGGAAGCCATGGATGATCCCAAATCTTTGTTTTCCTGCCATCTCCCACTTGCATAAAAAATCCCTGGAGGAACTTTTTTTGTAGCTTCAGCCATGATCTCCATATCCAAGATGCATTTTGAGTGGGCTGAGCACCGAAGAATTCACCAGTAGAAAAATATTTGTGCCTCAAAACTTTACTCACAAGAAGTTCTGGTTTTGTATTTATCCTCCAGATTTGCTTTAATATAAGGGCTTCATTAAAAATTTGAAGATCATGAAAATTTAAGCCTCCAGCTGACTTAGGAAGGGTGATTAAATGCCATGCCTTCCAGTGTATGCCAGTTTTTGCAGCAGATTTAGTGCACCACCAGAATTGAGCAAAAAGTTGTGAAAGTTCTTTGCACAGACCCACAGGCAAAAGAAAACATGACATGGTAAAAACTGGGAGGGCACTAAGAACAGATTTTACCAAAACTTCCTTACCAACCCCTGACAAGAATCTGTTTTTCCAGCTGAGAAGTTTGTTCTTCACTGCATCCACCACATATTTGAAGGTTTCCCCTTTGGATCTTCCAATGCCAAGTGGCAATCCCAAGTATCTAGATGAATGGTGCACTGTGATGCCTTGCAAGATGTTACAAATGTTTCTTTGCACAGCTTCAGGAGTGTTCTTGCTGAAAAAAAAAATGAAGACTTCATCATGTTAACTTGCTGACCTGTCAAACTCTTGTATTTTTCTAACATTTCCAGAATAAGTTTAGCAGAGTCAACAGTGGCTTGACAGAAAAGTAATGAGTCATCTGCAAAGAACAGATGGCTGAGAGTGGGGCCATGTTTTGATATTTTCAGCCCTTTGTAAGCACAAGTATTCATTTCATGCTGAATTAAGCAAGACAAACTTTCTGACACCAAAATGAACAGATAGGGGGAAATGAGATCCCCTTGTCTAATTCCTCTTGTAGGCAAGATATATCCAGCAGGGTGACCATGAAGTTTAAATGAAAAGGAGGAAGATGTCACACATGCCATTATCCACTTGATAAAATTTGAGTGAAATCCCATTTTTTCCATAATACTGCTAATACTTGCCCATTCAATTCTGTCAAAAGCTTTAGACATATCCAGTTTCAAGGCCATGTACCTTTTGGAACCATTTCTATGTCTATTAAGGAAGTGAAGAACTTCCTGCGCAATTATCACATTGTCAAGCAGCTGCCTATCAGGAATGAAAGCTGCTTGAGTATTACTGATGCATAAAGGTAAACAGTGCTTCAATCTTTCAGCAAGAATTTTTGAAATATGATGCATAAAGGTAAACAGTGCTTCAATATTTCAGCAAGAATTTTTGAAATAACTTTGTAAATGACCTCACATAAGCTTATAGGCCTGTAGTCCCCCACAGCAATAGGCAATTGACATTTAGGGATGAGTGTGATTAAAGTGAGGTTCCAATTTTTCAGCAAATGCCCAGAATTGAAAAAATGTAAAACTGCTTCACACAGATCACTTTTAATGATACTCCAACAATTTTGAAAGAAAGCATGAGTCATACCATCCCAACCAGGAGCTTTATCTGGGTGCATGCTGAATAAGGCATTTTTTTATCTCTTCTTCTGTCACTTGGGCCACTAAATTCTCATTTTGAGATGCAGTAATGGTGGTAGGAATGTGGTTGAGGATGTTCCCAAAATCAGCAGATCCTTCAGATGTGAATAGCTTTTTGTAGGAAGCTGTGAGGCAATTAGATATTTCTTCTCTGGTGGAACATACTGATTGGTCCTCTCTGATTATTCTGGTGATGGCATTTTGCTTCCTTCTTTGGAGTGTAAATGCATGGAAGAACTTTGTGTTCTTGTCACCTTCTTTGAGCCATAACACTCTGGACTTTTGTTTCCAGAAGAGCTCCTCAGCTTGATAAGCCTAGATGAGCACATATCAATACTTATAATAAGCTTATTAGAGAATTAGTCGAACAAACAACACTAAGGCTATGTTTGGTGATAGTTGATAAACTAACTTATAGTTTATCAGTAGTTTTTCGAGCTTACAACTTATAGCTTATGACTTATCGTTGAAAAGTTAGCTTATATGATTAAAGTGTTTGGTAAAATTAGTTTATAAGCTAGCTAGAATAATAAAAAAAAATCAATTAGCTTATTTGAAAAGCTACCTAAAGAAGTTTATCAAATAAGCTCGAGCTTTTTAAAAAACTCGTCCTACCAAATAAGGCTTATTTGAATACAGCGAGCTTATAAGCTAACCAAATAAGTTGACCCTCTCGTCGTCTTTGCAGGTCTCCAGCGCAAATCGATCAGTGATCTTGGAGAGCTGATTTGAGGTGCAACTGCACAACGGACTCATTTGATTTTATACTATGACTATCTCAACTCCCATTAGAACAGTAAAAAGGGTAAAAAAAACATACAACATAATATGGGAAAATGTTACGGTCTCGTTGCGGAATCATTCCGTCGGAATTTGTAACCATTAGATCAACTATCGCTGACGGTTTCATAATGATCTAACGATTATAAACCCAAACGAAATAATTCCATAATAGGATCGTAGTATTTCCCCATAATATGTAAAGAATAAAGAAGAAGCAAATTAGGGGACCACGTGCAATGCATCATATAAAGGCTACAAAGAGGGCTAACCTAACGCCATCTCCAGCCACTGTCGGTGTCGGTGAGATTCATAATTCATACACCAAATTTCTTGCAAACAAATATATCAATATTATTATTAATTATTTCCCTACCACAAAATTCATTTCAATCTTTCTTCATAAAATCATATAATAACTTCTTTGCAAATAATATATAAAAAAATAAATAAATATTCCAAAATAGAAGGTGACAGGTCACAGCCTGCACAGGTGAGCGAGCGAACACCGCCGAGTAGCTCCGCCGTCACTTTCTTACTTTGGCCTTACAACCTGCGAATCCTTTATTTGCTCTGTGCATTATTTCCTTCTAAGCTGTGTTTTTTCCTTCCTCATCCAGAAAAAAGTAGCCGATCAAGATCTGTGAAAAAAAATGGCGGGGCAGCTCTCGATTTGGATAATGGTGCTGGCGATCTGTGGTTGTGCGGTGTTCGCCGGCGCGGATCCTTCCGATAAAGAGATAGTCGTGAAGAAGGTGAAGGGGCAGAAGGTCTGCAAGCAAGGATGGGAGTGTAGTCTCTTCTCGGTCTACTGTTGCAACCAGACGATTTCGGATTTCTTCCAGACGTACCAGTTTGAGGATCTCTTCTCCAAGAGGAACTCGCCGGTGGCCAAGGCCGTGGGGTTTTGGGACTACAGATCTTTCATCGTCGCCTCCTCCATTTATCAGCCGCTTGGGTTCGGGACTACCGGCGGCAAGCTCATGCAGATGAAGGAGGTTGCTGCTTTCCTTGCCCATGTCGGCTGCAAAACTTCTTGTAACTGCTCTCTCTCTCTCTCTCTCTATCTCTATCTCTTTTCTATTTATCTCTCTTTTTTTTGTCGCTTGGTTGGTTTTGAAGACTTGAATTCGATGCCATCATCACATAGTTAACTGACACGAAAAGGTTTCGACAGTGTTAAAGAATTTTTCAATTGCCGAATGGAAAATTTTTACCGGCGATTCATTCGAGGAATTGAAATCACCAGAAAATAGGGAAAATGTCCATTTAATTGGGGGATTCATGTGAACTTTCACATCGGAATCGGATCGGTGAGGTAACTAGACTGTCCGTTGTGGCAAAAGAGATGAAATGGTTTTGGGTGTGGTTGGATTTGTTATGCTAAAGAAATATTTTTCATCTGGTGAATAGTGGTTAATTGTTTCTTTAATTAGTAATGAAAAATTAAGAGTTTGAATGAATATGAGATGAAATGTGGATGATGAAAGTTAATGTGATTTTGAAATACTGAATAATGATTGGGATTAGTGGATGAATAATTATGTGTGAGTAGGTGAATCATTGAATTGTGAAGAATATGAATGATTTGTTCTTATTAGGACAAGTTCGGACCTGACTGTTGAGGACAAATTGAGATTTAGTAAATGATGTGTTATTTTCGGTTAGTTTTAGAATGGAATCACATTTTAGAATGATATATCTTTTTGAATATAAAAGATGTAATTTTTGTATCTAAATGATGCTGAAGCACTCGCAATTGTTTCCGGAAAAAAAAAAAACAAAAATTCTGTGACAGAGTTCTAATAAAGTAGTAAATTTTGTGGTGTCCAAGAGCTTTATTATTATCTTTCATCTTTATTCACATGCATCCAGGCTCCAGTGACATGGATCAGGTTCGATATTATTTGTTGGAGTAAACGTTTGACTCATACATGATTCTTTTACATTTGTTGGCTGCACTTTTATATGGTATATTTGTTTTTGTTGAATTGGTTATTCTTTTACATTTGTTGGCTGCACTTTTGTATGGTGTATTTGTTTCTTGTTGAATTGGTTATTAGTGTCTTGTGATTGTGCTGTTACCTTCTTGTTTCTTTTATCTTTGTGTTAACCAGTAAGGAGCATTTAGTTTGTATTTACACAAATCGACTGGGGTGAGTGAGCTTGATAATAATTTGTAAGTTATTGCATGTTGATGCAATAGTTTCATAATGTTCCCACATGACGTGTAGAAATTGTCTAATAATTTCTTCCATGAGTTGATTGATTACCTTTCGTTCCATTTATCACTTCAGTTAATGAATGGTTTTAACCAGAATTTTGTGTCTAAATATTGTGCCAAGCTTATGGTGGTGTTTAAACATTGACTGAAATGAGGTTAATGTTTCACTTGCAGATACTCAGAACTAGATATAAAACTCAAAAGAACATTTAGTAATCGTTATTTCATAGAAGGAAGATCTGTTATTTCTGAAAAAGAAATCCTGGGAAACCAATATTATATAAAAGGGTAATATAAAATGCAGTACAATGTACAAGTTTTCTTGTTATTTTGCTGAATGATTTCAAGAGACTTCTGTTTTCTTGTCTGTGATAGTAATCCTTTCATTTAGACTATATGTTAATTACTTGTGTCATCTTTTATTTGTACTGACCACCATACGTACATTTTTGGAACCATTCGGTTATGGCGTGTACATGAGTTTTTCCCGGGAAAGATTCCTTGCGTCAATTGTTGCCAAGGAAGCTTCTACAGCATCTATTTTGAAGAAAGTTCAAAATGTCTCTGCAAATTGCAGTTTCCACAATGAAACTTTGTTAATGGAATTTAGTTATAGTTAGAAATATTTTCGATGAAAGTTGAACTTCCCTAGGTTTCATATTTAACTAGTGTTTCCAAACGTTGCAGGTGGTTATGGAGTGGCCACAGGCGGACCACTGGCATGGGGCCTGTGTTACAATAGGGAAATGAGTCCCAGCCAAAGTTACTGTGATGATTTCTTTAAATACGAGTACCCATGTGCTGCTGGAGCAGAATACTATGGTCGTGGTGCAATACCAGTCTACTGGTACTCTTTTTCCCTTTTTCTCTTTGCCTTCTTAGTCTTCTCTTTATATGTTCCCACTTCCCGACTTGCCTGTTGGTCATGTTATTGTTGCACATACTCTCTCAACCCCGAATTATTCCTTAGTCTTTTGACTTCTTGAGCATTGGAGAAATCATATCTGATTTTCCTCATATAGGGTAAGGGATCATATAGGTATATCCTCTATTTTCAACGTTTTGGTATAACCTTTCACTTTTTCATTGGTTACATATTTTAAAAGTCAACCTCTCTCTAAGTTATATGATGAAGTTTCAAAACTTCTTCTCTTCCTCGTGATTACATTTTTCTCTTTTTTTTGAAATCATGGCTGATTTAGTGT